AGAAAGAGGCTTTATATGATTATTTCTTTAGTTACTAACTATTGATTTATAACTCTTTTCAGCTTTAGGTGAGGATTGTCAGGCATATATTGATTATTCTGGCAAAGAACAACCTGCACAATCCTGCCCTGACTTCTGCTGTGGAAGCTGCACAAATCGATTCTGCTGCTCTAATGTAATATTAAGATTTGCTGAACAATTTCAGTGTGTTCTACATAATGGAAGGTAGGAGGCAAACTGAATGTACACAACAGATTATAATTCTGTCATTAAATGACAAAAATACACAGTTTAATGGTTAAATCTTTCTAAGGGATCTTTCAGCTCTGTATTTGGCTCTGTCCAGGATTAGCATTAATGCTTGTAACTTGTAAAATGGGAATAGTGAGGTGGGTAAATTGATGCATGAACTGATGTGTGTCTTCTTGAGCATTTTCAGATACTTATACACAATTTAATTTTTCTTCGAGGATGTCTGTCCCAGGAGATCTTCTAAATAAGATTCAAGAGGCCCAACTAGGAGAATTTTGGGATAAGTTTGACAAGACCGAGTTTGAAGACGAGGCAACCAAAAAAATCCGTGAATTGATGTCCAAGAGCTGGTTGGGATGAATCTTTAATATTCTTGGTTTTACTGTGGTGGGATGGCTCTGGGGCCCAATACAACATGCAGTAATGTTTGTTGTAACGATTATCGTTGTCAGTATTAGTATATCCTGTGTAAAGTCCTGGTTATTGAAAGCTATAACATGAGCTGAGCCATTGTTTATCTTGCAGCTGGCTCAAGCAAGGCTTAACCTGTGAGTGATGTCTGGGGTGAAGTGTTGGCCTCAGCTAAATGTTGTCTCTGTGAAGCACAGAAGACCACCCAGACCTTTGTATGGAGATGTGAGCCTTGCTTCCCCTTACCCAGGCGTAACAGTCCTTGTCAGAAGTATAGATCTGGTCCTTGGAGGACCTAGTGATGTGTGGCTATAATGTGCTGGTGGGAACAAAGACTATCAGGCAAAGGTCCAACGGCCTTTACTGCTGCCCCAGCTGGGTGGAGGAGGGAGCAACACTGAAGTGTCACAGTTCTGTTCTGCCTTTGGTTCAGCCATAAGTCTTATAACTCAGTTTGACTGAAGGTAACAGAAGCCCTCATTATAAAACTGATATTATAAAATTAATCATCCATGTAGAGGATGAGAATATAGCCCCACTTTGCAGACAAGTTGCTGTGCTTGCTCCTCTCTCCTCCCCGAAGCGGAGA